CTGTTCTTCACAAGTTTACTGTAAAAGCGCCTGCCTGAATTTGAGTTACATTCTTTGTTTCTGTTTCTCTCAGACACAGTCACACACTCACAGCCTCCCCTTCCCCCTGGCAGACAAGTGGAAATTTCCACTGAAGCGCTTGGTGGCTCCCGGTGGGTGGGGGATGGGAGGGATTTGAAACCATGGAGCATCTTCGAGCCTTTCGCAGGCTCGGAAACAGATCCATCTGAATGCCAGTTTCTAGACTGTTTCAGTTAAACCTTGCTGGATTCAGGCTTCACTGAGATAGTGAATTCTTCACCTTAAAACCAAGGAACCCTCTGCATGGAAAAGCCCTATTCTTTTTATATCTGTTGTGTCTCATACATTTTTAAAACCACTAAACCTAGTGCAGAATCCTTACAAATCTCAAGATGCTGCCCCTAAAAAAGAAACCTCCAAGGCCACAGAAGCTCTGCCTTGAAACCCAGTTGTGGAGCACCTTCACACAAGAATGGGGTCAGGATGCTGGCCTGGACTTAATGCTGGCAGGAAAGCACGAGAACATGGAAATGTTAGCTAACAGGAAAACTACAGAGAAGAATCAATCTCCTCTAGAGAGGGTGCCAGCTCTCTTGGAGTAAGCTGCAGACACATTTGGGGAGCGAGTCAGTAAAATTCCACTGATTCACCACAGAGCCGGTTATTTTTATCATTCTGCTTACCCGTAAATAGAAGGGCATCTTATATGTAGGCCAGCAGATCTTATAAGCACCTATTCACATTTTAATAGATGAGAACGAAGAAAGAAGGGACAAAACAGGCAAGAAAAACCTTCTTCACCACGTAAGAGTTCCTTTACACACGCCTTCTGGAGTAAGTCCTATCTCAATGCAGTAAAATCAGACGTGGTTAGAACGGTCAAAGCCCATCGGGGGCATCCTTTTCCAAACAAGCGCCAGCCCAACACTGAAATATGGACCACAGTCTGTTCTACAGTTCTCTCTCCTCCACCAAAAGCCTGCTCAGTCTCAGTCCAGCCCCATCTAGTGGAAAGAGAGCCTTACACTGCTATGTGCAGCCCTGGCGTCTGACACCGGAGTGCTTCTGGCAGCCGGCGCCTGACACCACGACTCAGAAAATGCCTGACCCTTTTTAGCAACCCCACCATTGCTCCCCTCTGCATATGTCACAACACCACCTTTTAGACTCTGAGGAATACAGTAAGAATCTTCTACACCAACCTTCCCTTGCTCAGAGTTGATAAAGGTGAGCATCTGAAGGTACAAAGTAGAAAAACTCTATGGGCCCCCAGGAGACCAAAGCAAATGCAGAGCTGAGAATGCATCTCAGAACTTGTAAGACCTACCCCCCAACTGCTTCCCCAACTCTGAGTCAGGCTCCAATCGTTTCCAGACACTGCTGGAGACAACAGGTGGTGAGTAAGGCCAGAGCCTCCATCTAGAAATCTGGTCCAGAAGACTCAAACTCCCAACCACCCCAACATGGCCCAAAGAGAACGGGGGCATCTGGTTAACTCCTTCCTCGTCTAATTCACATCACCTGGGGGACAACTTAACTAATATCTGGAATATAACAAGTGTACTTGAAATTTTGGCATATCTTGGTCATAGACTTGATACAGTAATAAATACCAGGTACTACCTCCTCCCCCGGGGAGACTCCCCAGGTAACCCTGAGGCAGCAGTGTACCTCTCTTACCTATGCACTTTTCTACCCACACATCTTTCTTTTGGGCCTACCTGGCAGGTGTGTACCAGCGGTAGGGATTTGGGGGAAGGAGGCGAGGATGGAGAATGACAGAGACAATCACCCAAAAGATGGGAAGCAACTGTAGCAGAGACTGGTTGTCAGCCAGGCCAGGTGAACACTGCTGTGCTAGGCCCCCGCCCTTGTTTATCTCTTGGCTGGTGCCTAGGTTAGCAATGTGCAGGCAAGTCCCTGATTCAACTGAAAACTCCTTGTGACCAGGAACCACAACAATCACAAGAACCATCCCGAGACCTAGGAATACCAGCAGGATATACATTTCCTCCCATAAAATGTAAGAGAAACAAACACATAATACCAACAGTATCACAATGTGATGTGGATTCTCGGAGGGCATCTAGGCTCACTCGTTAGCCAGCTAAAAAAACTAGCTCTCACATACCAACCTCAGGATTCAAACCAGTGCCTCACCAAAATTATAGATACATGCCATGCCTCCACGGATGTTCCAAGAGTTAAAAACTTTCAAATGCTAAGTTCGTAACAAACAAGTCCACTATTTCTTCTTAATCACTTGGAAAAATTGAGCCTTTCCAGCACCCAGCACATAATCCTGGCACATAATCCACTTAATACATGTTTGTAACACCCTATGTGACTATGTGCAGCGCACATACAGACCTTACCAAATGAACAAAAAGCCTGGTACAAACATCACTGGGGGTAGTGACCCGAGGGGAGGACTGGTGGAAGTCACGAGAATATCAGACTATCCTTAAGTTCCACACTACAGACATATGACACACCACTCAAGTTTAAATCTCTACCCCGGTAACTCCAAAATACATTAGCCCCTCATCTCCTCTTTTACCAAAAGTCACTGTGAAGAATATTAATGAGTGTTACAAAAATAAAAGGTAACAGTCAAATAAAGTTGATAAATGAAGGCAACTAACTGCAGGGCTTCTCACCATTATTATACTCACGAATGCTGCGCATCTCTAGAAGGGATCCCACATCTAAATGCTTGCACTCTCTCTCTCTCTCACACACACACACACACACACATACACACACACCATTTTTTGGTGGAGCATAACTGTATAACTAGTATTTCAGAGACCATACTTTGGAAAACACTACCTTAAACAAATACATACGAGACATCGATTAATACCAGAAAAACAAGCGTAAACCATGAACCTCCCCAACTGGGAGGGAGGTTCTGTGTCTATATACAATACACACATATATTACACTCTACAAATGTTGCTCCCCCTTTGCTGAGGGGTCTGAGAAGTAACAGAACCAGAGATAAAATCATTAAATGTAAATGAACAAAGTGACAGTGACAGCAAGAGTCCTTGGTGGGGCACATGCACCTTGTCAGGAATCCGGAATGTGGGGCTAAGTCAGCAGTTCAGGCTTAGTTCCGGGGCAGTTCTTCCAGGATCTGAATTTATTCCATCCACAAAAGAAAAACAGCACCACCCAACCCCAGCACTGCACGCAAAGGCCTGACAACTAAGGAGTTGATACAGCGGTTCTCAAAGCGTGGTCCTCGGGACAGCAGGATCAGCAATACCCAAGCAGTTGCGAGAAGTGCAAATTCTAGAATGCCAGTCACACCAAGCCTCAACAAATTCTACTTGGAAAGGGGGCAAAAGAAAGCACTCCTCATGCACATCCCTGAAAGCACATGAATGAGGGAACAGGCTTCCCTCCCTGTTCAGTGCTTTCCAACTGAGAACCTGGCTAATAATCCTTAGCTGAATTTTATACGCTCCTCTCTAAACAAAAAGGCAAAAGGACTCAGAGCCTTGCTGTTAAAATGAAACCCCTTTGTGGTTAAATTTAAAAAAAAAAAAATGTTACACACACAATCTCCATCCCTCTCCGTTATGACTGTGGCAGAGGAATCGCCACTATGCATTTCCTGTTGCCTAGCAACGCCGCGGGCACTCTCTTCAGAGGTGTTCTCAAGAAGCTGAACGCTAGCACAAAACAAGGTGAAGCAATCAAAAGAGGAAATGTGCAGTATGTGCCGCACCTTGGCAGAGGCTTAAATGCAGGAAGAACGCCTCAGTGTGAGGCGTGACCGCACGCAGGCCTCTCCCGTGGGCAGCACTGGCGCAAGAGCCCAGCTCCTCGTGGGTGAAGCGGCACCATCCACACTCCGCACCGTCTGGAGAGCACACGGAGAGATGATCTCTTCTGAACCCCCCGGCAACGTGGGTGGGAGGATGGCCACCTGAGCTCAGTATCCAAGGAAGCAAGAATCGGAGAAGCTGAAGACTGGGTGAAGGCCACACTGCTGGCAAGTACCGGAGGGAGAATGGAGTCTTCAATGCCTGGACCTTCCCACTACTAAAAACTCATTTCCATCTTCTCTATCACTACTTCTAGGAAACTCAACAGTATCAGAGATTTCTCCTCCAAACCAGAAATCATGAGTGTAAAAATAACATCACCAGGGGTCAGAGAAGCTTCAGATCAACTCAACAAGCAAACCGGTATCAAAGAATTTCTACAAGGATAGTTATTACTACAGAGTCAAATCTTTGATATGTTTGAGGAAAGTGCTATATACTTTTGTAAGAAAAAATTTCGTAACAGAGGATTGTGATTATTGTCTGGAGTACATAAAACCATTTCTCTATTGTGGGTCAGGTGCTGGTTACACACAACATTACTGAAAATACCTTTTGCTTGTTACCTGCAACCCCCATTATTTACAAAGGATGCACTGAGTATGTGGACAGCACATTGCTCACTGAGGCGTTTTAAAGGCAAAGCTGAAGAAATGTCAAGGGAAAACTGTGCTTAGGTTGACAAGAAAAGTTTCCCACAGGGCACCTGGGTGGCTCAGTTGGTTGAGCGACTGACTGCCTTCAGCTCAGGTCATGATCCTGGAGTCCTGGGATCGAGTCCTGCATTAGGTTCCCCGCTCAGTGGGGAGTCTGCTTCACCCTCTGACCTCCCCCCTCTCATGCTCTCTCTCAAATAAATAAATAAAATCTTTGAAAAAAAGAAAGAAAAGAGTTTCCCGCAATCAAAAGCTTACACGCCTGTTGCTCCTCACATGACTTGTTTTTGTACTCTGATTATGGTTTATTATGGGCCAGCTTTACTGGAGTCCATTTAAATCACAACACCACTAGAGTATGTACCCACACACCACCTGGCACAATGGAGATCTACTGAGAAATTAAAATCATTTCTAAGATGAACTAAACAGTATTCTTTACAGCCTATCAAAGACATTTGTCAAGGTTCATGAAGAAACTTACCCTCCTCTACTGTGCCGCTGACTGTGGGAGGAAATCTTATAAGGCAGTGTTCGGTCACCCAGATTCTCCAAGTTCCTCACTATCGCCCCTCTGTCCATCAGGGCTTCTACTGTACGTTTCAAGGCAGCAGCAGTCTCTGGCTGTTTTTTTGTTTTCATTTTTAAAGAGAAGAAAAAAACATATCAGAATCAATATAAGAACTAGAATGATTAAGTCTGGTCAGTTCCAATCATAACAGCTCTATCGGCAGGGAAAAAAGCAACAGAAACTGTCTAGCTAACTTAAAATTTAAAGAGAGAGACATTTAGTGTAAGGATACGAGATAGCTCACAGATACGAAGGACAATCTGAAGAACCAGGCCTCGGAGAGTTCAGGAACCAGAGCAGCTGCAGGGATCTGGGAAGCAGGAACTAAGAAATGGCTTCTTCAGAGCACCTTGGCCAGGATGAATCCACGCCAATCACTGTCAGTCCTTGTATCCCATGACTCAAAATCCAAATTCCAGGGGAAGAGCATCCCATTCTCTTGGCAGGACACTTTGACTGACCATCCCACCAGAACCACAGCCAGTGGGAAAAGGGGTTGTGCCCAAAGAAAAATAGGGAGATTATAACCAAAAGGGGAAAAGGATGAGTAAGACCCAATCTCTGCTCTCTTGGAGCTTACAATCTAATAAAGGGATTAACACAAAAAGCCACCTCAGAAGACCAGAGGGCAGAACAAAGGAAGTGACACAGAGACCGGAGAGCTTGTGAAGGAAGGCACATTCAGTTGGGAATATGCCCTGAAGAGTGACAACGGGAGATGCAAAGAACCGATGAAACAAGCTCTGAGTAAAGGAACAAAGGCAAGAAAGTATGAGTGCACCGAGGAAATGAGGAGGAGGAGTTCCACTGGGTGATGATCAGGACACAGGAGGGCTGAGAGGTAAAAGGCTGGGTGCAAGCATATAAATACTAAATACCTGTTAAGAAAACAAAATTCAAACAGTATAAAATCCTACCACCCAGAGATCAAAGACTTTAAACACTTTGGTGAACTTCTTTCCAGATCTCTCTCTTTACATATGTATTCACAAAAGAACTTTGGAAGCAAAGATACTTTACAGGGTAAACCTGAGAAGATGCAGCTAAGGTAATGTGGAGAACGGGAACGAGGCAGAGATGTGGCAAAGGAGGGGCCCCAAAATATGGAGGCTGGGAAAATGGTATTGCTGCTAACAGCTACAGGGAAATCTGCAGAAGCTGGTTGGGAACAATAAAAAGATGAATTTGACATGCTGAGTTGGAGTTGCCCACAGCTCCTCAAGGTTGACCTCTCAGGATGTAAAGCTTAAGCTCAAAATAACAGGGCGGGTTAGAATTACCCATTTAAGAATCACCTGCACAGGAGAGCTGTCTGAAGCCCCAGGAATAGGGGCGATTGTGGAGGGAGGGTGCACGGGGGAAAAGAGAGCAACAGAACCTTAGGGAACACAACCATGTGGGGGCTGACAAGGGAACTTGAAGTCAGAGAAGCAAACAGAAAAGGTAGTCAAACAGTACAAGGGAAATCAGGCCCACCTTGTCACAGAAACCCGGGGAAGACGCAGACTCCAGAATGACAGGGTAGAGGATGAAAAGAAAGCAAATGCCACAGTATGGGGGTTGTATGGGTCACACAGCAGGATGGGGCTAGAAGCTAGACGGCCACTTCCCATGGTAGAGGCATGACAGCAATGGAAGGAAAGAAAAAGCACGAGAGCCTGAGGAGCAAACAAGTCTGAGCAGAATGTCTCAGGAGGCAGAGAACGCGAACAGGTTAGTAGTTAAAGGGGAATGAACCAGTCAAGAGGACAAAATGTAAGATGTTGTTTTAAATAACAACAATGGCAAGTCTGATTTTTTGTGTAACTGCTGTGAGCCCACTACTGGTCTAGTGTTTTACTGTTATATATTTAATCTTCACTGGGGGGAAAAAAAAAAAAGAGCAAAGAAGGTTTACCGATTTGGAAATTGGGGCCTCTGAGAGATGCCAGGACTCTGAGAGGACACGGCAGCTAGTAAATGGAAGAGCCTGGTGCAAGGGAAGTAACACCAGTGGAAAAAATCGGGGGACAGGCGGAGGATGCCAGAGGACACCTCGGCAAGGAAAAGGGACAATTCTCCTCAAAGACGTAATTGAAGGGATGCAGGCAAAGAGAGCACCAAGTGCAGGAGTGAACCTAAGGATACCTTCCGGTGGCTCATTTCAGATCAAGTGAAAAGAACAATGGAGAATCATTTTAAGCGTGCACTCCAGTAACCAAAGAAAATCCACCATTCCTATAAATTTTCTTTCTGACCCGAATTCTGTTAAAATGCTGTGAATGCACTATTAGTTTAAGGTTGAGAAATAAAATTTTTACTTTCATCTCACACTGTAGCTCACTAGGGATTTTTTAAATTCCTACTGAAAATTGTACTTATGTATTTAACCAGCTTTATGAGAAAACAGACATTTCCTACCTACAATAAAAACAAAGGCCCAAATCACTTCACATTAACACTAACCAGGTAAAAAGTCTATGGCAATTTCTCCTTACAATTTTTTTTTTTTTAAAGATTTTATTTATTTATTTGAGAGAGAGAGAATGAGAGAGAGCACATGAGAGGGGGGAGGGGCAGAGGGAGAAGCAGACTCCCTGCCGAGCAGGGAGCCCGATGCAGGACTCGATCCCGGGACTCCAGGATCATGACCTGAGCCGAAGGCAGTCGCTTAACCAACTGAGCCACCCAGGCGCCCCTCTCCTTACAATTTTATACAAACGTATTTTTATATAGTTCTAATCAACATGGAGACTAAATTCTTTTCACATTTCATTAATTCACAGACACTTCCATATTTCTGCAGAAGTCTCATTAGTAACAGCAGGGTAATATTTCATTTCATTAACAATGTCATTTCTTGACCTGGTGTTGTAACAATTAACTTAAAGGCAGACAAATAGTTTTTCCAAATAAAGATGTGGGTAAGATTTTTTAAAAAACCCAAACTTTGATGGATTACAGTCTTCTGATCAGCTACCCAAATCATAAATTTTAATTTCAGGTTTTTTTGTTTTTTGTTTTTTTAAAAGATTTTATTTATTTGACAGAGAGAGATACAGCGAGAGAGGGAACACAAGCAGGGGGAGTGGGAGAGGGAGAAGCAGGCTCCCCGCGGAGCAG